CTGATTTTAAAACTAAAACATCTGTGTCCTGGACACCCAACCAGGACGGTTGACCACCCTCCATACGCCCCTGGTGGCCCAGGTGCTTTAGGAGGTACACAGACACGTAGTCATTATTGTTTCTCATGTGAAACTGGAAAAAAACATATAAATCGTGTATCAGAATGACTCAGCCTCAAAAGGAAATTTCTGACACTTGCTATGACATGGATTGTACCTCGAGAACATGACAAAAAGACAAATACGGGATGGGTCCCACTTGCATGAGGTTCCTGGAGTTTGACTCCTCTATGAACTTGTTCACAGAGACGGGATGTAGAATGCTGGTTCCTAGGGGCTGGGAGCAGTGGGGGGACATGGGGAGCTCTTGTTTCCAGGTTTCAGAGATTGAGTTTCAGAAGATGAAAAGCATTCCAGAGATGGACGGTGGTGATGCTTGCAGAACAGTATGAATATACTTCATACGCCTGAACTGTACACTTAAAAATGGTTAAGATGGCAAATTTTATGTTCTGTGTATTTTACCGCATTTAAGACTGGGGAAAAAGTACATCAGATACTACAAATATTGTTGCCCAGGGTAGAGCTAAAGTACTGTTTAACAAATGGGACATACCTATAAGACAACTGTGCAGATGAGACGTTAGGGGGAAGAAGCTGGGGAAATTCAGTATATCCTGCGCTCAGATGGCAAGTGCTTCCAAACACACCACCCCTGGCTTGCCCAGTGCCACAGTCCTCTGTCCGCTGCCACTCGTACACGTGTCTGCTCCTCACGTGGCCCATGCACTGCATCCACGAGAGCTCGATCTGGGGCCCTCTGGGGTTTGCACATACCCGGCAGCGTCAGGGGTCGAAAGTCCTGAATCCTGACATTCACAAAAACTCTTACGCTTCACTTTTTGCCTTAGCGGTGCTCTCGAGCCTCTGCCAGATTCTTCCCAGCATCCTATATCAGACAGGGAGTTCTGGACCACAGCGTGGGGGGCAGGAGGGATGTAGAGTAGTTCAGTTGGTTCTGTGCGTGCTTTCTCCAACCGGAGGCTGGGCCGGCCCCGTCCGCTCCGCACGCTGCCCCCTGGAAGGACCTGAGCTGAACCATGCCCCCTCATCCTATGCATCCTCATGCCCAGAGCCACAACGCATCTTAGACACACACAATGCTGAGGTGGCCCTCTGGGAGCCATCCTAATGCTGACACCAGCTGGAAGAATGGGGACAAGTCCCTTCTATGGGGCATTTCCCCAACCACGCTCTGCAGGGACATCCCCTGGGTTTTACGCACAGAAAGCTTTCCAAGTTCAAATCTGGTTGCGTCATTATACTCCTGTCTCCAGCTTGAAATGTCTTCAGCTTCTGATATTCAGGATGGTAATAATACCATGAAATAACAGCTAACATTTATCAAGGGCTTACTGTATGCCCGGTGATACTGCCCAGGTCTTACGTGCATTACTCCATTGAATAATCCCAACACCTGAGGCTCACCGAGATGAAAGTAACTGGCTGCAAGTCCGGGCTTTCAGGAACAGGCCTTGGGGAGAAGATGAAGAAGGAAAGAGGAAGAGAATTAACTACCATATTCATGCCTCACTAAAAGCAGCGCCTCTTAAACTTTAAAGGGCACGCTCACCCCCTGGGAATCTCGTTAGAGAGCCAGTTTTGACTTAGTGGGTCTTGGGCGGAGCCTGAGATGCTGCATTTCTAAGATCAGGCTCTGAATGGGGAGGCGTCGGAGCGCTTCCACCTGGGACGGAGCTCCTTCATTCATTCGTTCCCTCATTCGTTCATTCCCTCATTCAGTTGTGGAAGCGGTCTTGTAGCGAGGGGCATGATGGGCTTTGACATATGGAACCAGGTTCTGATCACTAAGCAGTGGCTTCTCTGAGCCTCAGTTGCCCATCTGCAAAATGGGAATGAAACTCACATCTCAGAGAGCTTTGTGAATATTCAAATGCAATAAAATGTGGCAAAAGTCTGCCCCAGGGTCTCGGGCACGGTGGGCATTTCATAAATGGTCATGGTTCGAGAGCGGTTTTTATCGGTTCTTTTGTTGATTGATTCCAACGGAGATTTTCACACGGTTCCAATAAGTGTATTTATATGACAGCAAATTTATTGAAATAAATCCCTTCCTTATTAAATCATTTATTTTAACTTTTACTTGTTTGCATGTTTCCGCAAAGACATCCCAGTGGCTCTGAAGGCTGCCAGTGATGGGCCCAGAGTCACTATCCTGAATCCGAGGAATGGGCATGGACGAAGAAACGTGTCTTCTAATGATTTCCACGAAAGGTGGAAGGAAATTGTAGAGGCAGGCACAGGTGACGAGCTGCAGGAGCCACTTGGCAAATGACTCCACCAGGAGGGAGGAGAGAGAAATGGATGTGGTGGGGAGAGAGGGAGAGAGAGAGGCTGGAACTGGGTAAAATGTCAGCAGATCGCAAACTCTTCATTATCCAAGGAGAACTAAAGATTATGTAGGCAATTATAGACAGGCCACCGAAAGCAACAATAGGAAAACGTGGGCCCCAGCCGCATTGCGTGTCCCCTTGAAGAAGGGCTGGGGAGATGGGCTCTGGCATGCTGATCAGGCTTTCTACTCTGAAGGAGAAGGGGGGGCTGGGGGCTCCCATGGAGGGGGACGCAGGGGTCCCCTCGCCCTGCCAGTCCGGCCAAGCCAGGCACACAGCGCTTCGCTTTGAAAGGCAGCCTTCCCCCCAGCTCCAGGCCTGGAATCCCCAGCCCCCTCCCTGAGCACTCCCCCCCCCCCCCCCCCCCGCCAAGATGTCATCTTTTGAGACGATTTCATGTGGAAGCATTGCTAAGTAAATTCGCTAAATGCCTATTCATCCCCGTCAGATGGGGACTCGGTGAAGCAGTAAATGTGAAAATGGCCCCAGCTCAGGGCCCTGAAAGGCGCTTTCTGGGGTTGACAAATGGAGCTGCGGCCGCTGACCCTGGGAGCCCCCGGAGCCCTGGCCCGGCCCCTCCAATCCTCCCCCTGAGGCCGCTGAGAGGCCCTATTTATTATTCCTGCTGCCAGGGACCCATTCAGAGGTTAACTTGTCCCCGTATTCATCAGGACGACAATAATGAACTGTCGCAGAGTGGCGAGGGAGTTGGTAAATAGGAACTGCTAAGACGCGGAGAGGGAATGGGCCTCCTTAAGGTTTGGAAAGAGACATCGCTTTCTTTTTTTTTTTTTTTTTGTATGGGCTGATCTCATTCCCATCTCTCCCGGCAACTTCAAGAGGACCTGTGCCCACAGCTGCCCCATAACTTGGTAGGAGGCGCATAGGCTTTCCCTTGCAGCGTGCGGGCACGGTTGTCCACACAGGAGACGCACCATTTTGCAGACACGTGGGGTTCGCCTTTTGTCTGCATCCCTGGGATTCACCCCTGTGCGCACCCGCGGGGCTTGGCTTGCTGCGTGCGTAGCGGATGGACCTCTGTGCAGACACGGGGTTTCTCGGCCGCCGCTAGAACGGGCTGGCCGTGAGTCGGGGTTTAGTTCAGGGGTAGGATGTTTTCACTGCAGCGCCTCTTACCGGCTTGGTGCCCCCTCCGCCGGAATTCTGAGGTGGTCACCATGAGTCATCTAATCACGGAACAGGGAGTTGCAGGGAAATGAAGGAGGGGTGCCGGGTGGGGGCCGCTCAGACCAGACGGTGGGGAGGTGGAAGGAGAGAGCACCTTGCATTGATTGCACACCTACTATATGCCCTTTCAGTGCACCCAGTTATCCGTTCGCTACGTAGGCACAGAGAGCCTGCTATCTGCTGGGGAGCCAGGGGAGTTCAGAGAAGCCCCCCCGCCCCCCGCCGCAAAGCCCCGAGGTTCAGTTACTCACCCTTGGACACACAGCTGGGTCAGGAGTGGAGCTGAGATCTGTCTCCAGACCCTTCTGCTTCGAGAGCCCAGGTATTGCTTTCTGAGGCACCCACCTGCCTCCCAAAGGTCGGTGGCCTCCATTCTGTGCCCAAGGACGGCCTTCCTTTCTGCCGACTCCGGCCTGTCTCCCACTTTGAAACAGTGTTTATTAACCCTTTCCTTCTGAAGTAAAAATCCAGCACCGTTTACCTATTTGGGTTTATTCAGCAGAAGAGACGACTGCATTTCGGGCAGATGGAGACCTGTGTGACTGCCTTTTAAAATACTGTCACAGCTGTACGCACAAGCCGATTAGCTGGGACTACACTGCGGGTTCCGAGATTGATGGCAATAAATTTGGGATAACAATGCTGGGAACGACGTCATCTGTTTGGCTCACGCTTCATATTTTTCAAAGCTCGCTCAGTCGGTAGCCCAGTGGGTTTTAAGAACTTTGTATTCCTTCATCCAACAACAAGCTAATGTAGCTCCTACTGGGTGCCAGGGAGGAACAAGTCCCATGAGGCTCTGCCTTCATGGAGCTTACATCATAATGTCAGCAAATTTAACACTCGGTAATGGACACAGAGGGATGTGATAAAGGTGAAGGTGGGGGAGGCAGATGCTACTTTAGGTTGGGTGGCCAGAAAGGGCCTCTGTGAAGAGGTGACATTTGGAAGGAGATCCAGATGACGTAACAACAAGCCAGACCTGGAAAGAGACAAGGCAGAATTTCCCAGGCACAGCAGGTGCAAAGGCCCTGAGGTTGCTAAGTACCTGGCATTGTGCTGCACACTGATGACTTCATGTTTGCCAAGCCCAGTGCTGGGCACTAGAGATTCTATAGCCTTCTTTTTTTTATTATTATGTTAATCACCATACATTACATCATTAGTCTTTGATGTAGTGTTCCATGATTCATTGTTTGCGTATAACACCCAGTGCTCCATGCAGAACGTGGGCACTAGAGATTCTAAAACAGCTGGGGCACCATGCTTACCCTCAAAGAGTTCACAGACTATGGAACATGTAGGATATACACACACTCTAATAGTCCTTTTTAACGTAAGATGGTAAGTCCATGGTCTCTGGAGGACTCTGACCTTCCTCTTGGTTTGTTTCCACAGGACAAATGACCAGCTGGTGGCATTTCTCTCCCGATACCGAGATATGAATTTCCTGAAGTCACACGGCCGGGACAATGCAAGGTAGTACATCCTATCACCCCCCACCCTTGTGCAAGATGGAAATGAAAATCCAGGTGATCATTTGTGGCTTCCTTCCAGGCTGGTTTGATGCAGCCAGAGAAAGTAGGTAGTGGGAGAAAGGCATGGCTCACATGGACCTCTGCCCCTTTCACATAAGATCTGAATTGGTCTCTCACGTTAGCCAAGGACAGGAATAATAGTAAATGCGTCTCCTCGTGTGATAGCCCTTAACACCTTTTTTCCGAGCACTTTCCTGAGTCTGTTTATCTCATTACGCAACCCTTTGAGGTAAGTAGGGCAGCCGTGGCTAATCCCCACTTTATTGGTGGGAAGACTGAGGCCCATAGTTGAAGTGATGGCCTCAGTTCATCGGGTCAGTGACGTGGGGCCATCACTGGTCAGGCAGTCATTCAGCAAATATTTGCCCCATGCCAGACACGTGCCAGGCATCCTTCTAGAGGTGAACACGACAAAAATCCTCGTTCTCATGGAATTTACTTCGGAGGGAGAAAGAGTCTCTCGCCGGCATGGAGTTGAGCTCAAATATCCTGACTTCTAGCCCGTGCCCACGCCAGGGCCTCACTCTTGTCGCCCAAGACATGGGCAGGGGTTCGAGGCACCAGAAGCGCGATCTGAATCCATTGCACCTCGCTCACCTAGAATGAGTGAGGCCAAACAGCTTTGAGCCACATCTACATCTCTGGCCAGAGATCAGCTAGAAGGGATTCAGTCTCGAGCGCCCCCTGTAGGGGAGATCACAGGTCCGGTCTCACCATCCTGAGGTTCCAACACCAGTAACAAAAACCCAGCCCCGGATAACTCTGCCGTGCTGGAGGTTTTTTCCTAGCGCTGAACTCAGACCATAACCTGCCAGCACATGGGATAATTTGAGTGCCTTCCTGTGCTTTGTTTGGGTCTCGAGTTGGTTTTGTTTTGTTTTGCTTTAATTCAAGTGCTTCATTTGAAAATGAATAGCCGCATGTAAAAATAGCAATGTTTCCCAGGCACATTCAGATTTCAGCTCCTCTTAAAAGACCCCGGTGTCCACTCACTCTGGGCCTGAGTTTTCTCACTGGAGGCTCTCCCCCGGGTCATACACGAAGCCTGCATCCTCCAGGTCACTGCGGGCCTCACCTGTCCCCCTTCCCTACCTAGCCCCCCACTGGCCTTTCGGTTTGCAATTGTGCTTCGGGTGTTCTCTGCCAGGGCTGACGGAGGCGTCGTTCTGGCTGGCTCTGGAACTCCGCTCACCCGGTTACCCACGGCACGGGAGGGGCCAAAAGCAAGCAGTGAGCTCCATCTTCCGAGCTCTCCAGATGTAAACCCAGAATCCTTCGTTGTGTCATTTCCAAAATTCTAACCCTGATTTCATCCAGCTCTTGAAAGATTGTTCCTATCCTACTGGCAGCCTGCATTTTTTTTTTTTTTTTTTTACGTTTAGAAGGAGCCCGCCCCCCCGCCAGCCCCGACTTGAGGATGCTCTGTAAATCAGCCCAGATGAGCATGTTCCAGCCACAAAGGGTAGAGAGGCCTGGGGCAGACATGGAAGAATTATAGCCCCTGGGCATTGTGTTCCTAATAAGTGCCCCACTCTGCTGACCCTTTTCCTGCAGGATCTTCTTAGAGCCATTCAGTGCAAAATAAGAATTATTATCCCCATCTGTCAGGAGAAGCAAGGGGGTCTTTGGGAGTCCAAATGATTTTGCCAAGGTTACACAACTGGTAAGTGCTAGAATTTGAACCCAGTTCTCTGGCCCCAAAGCCCAGGTGGAGCAAGGCTGAGCTGAACAAGATTCCATGCAGGTGTTCGTTATCAAAACTGGTGGTGTCTAGGCCCTCAGGTAGAGAATGAAGACACTTCTTCCCCTCCCCTCCAGGTAACCTTGTAATAACACATTTGGTGCAAAGTCGCATCCGAGCCCACCGTAACTTGATAGACCTGGGTCTGAATTACATCCGCCCTAGTATAATTATGCCAGCCTAGTCAGTATTTATTCTCCCTCCACTATTTCTAGGCCCTGGGCTTGGGACCAGGGATGGCACAGAGGTTAAAATCACAGGCTTTGAGGTTGTACCTCCTGGATTAGAGTCCTGCTCTGTCATGTCTTAGCTGTGTTGAATTAGACGGGTGACTTAACCTCTCTGAGCCTGTTCGCTTACCTGTATGATGGAGATATGAATAGACCTACACCCACAGGGTTGAGAGGATTCAATGGATGCTGCATATAAAGCATCCAGCATATAGTAAAGGCCCTATGTGATGATGGTGAGGAGGAGGATGGTGATGCCATGGCCATGATAAGCAGAGGACGAAAATACTGCTGCTGGAAGAAATAGATAGTTGGTGTTTGGGCCAGAGTTGAGAGTCTGGATGTGTGGGTACATCCTGTCTACTGATATGCACCGGTAGTTGACAGGTAGTACCCAAATGGCACAGGATAAGATGAAGGTCCAGGCTAAGATGTGGCTCACACCTCCTCCCAAAACCCTAAAACCCAAGGCTCTCCGAACAGAAAAGCTCACAAGTTCCACTACTCGTGAATGAGCCCTTGGCTGGTTTTCTCTCACTAAGATGAATGAAGGGCAGCAATTGAATATTCATTTCGTAGTAAAATGAGCCATCATCTGCCCCCCCCCCCCCCCCCCCCGTCAGCTGGGGCCTCACCTGCTGCATGAGCCAGCCTAGCCACGGCGCATCCTCTGTCATCCCCTCCACAGGGCACAGAGCGGCCATGGCTTAGCTCCAGTCCTGGCACGGGTGGTGTGTTACAAAGGACGCTTGGTGGCAGATGACAGAAACCCAGCTGAAACTAGGCTAAGCGAGTAAAGGAAGTTAATGGAAGGAGAACATTGGTATCCGACTTCGGATAGGGCTGAATCAGGCAGTTCAGATGATATCATCAAGCCCAGACTCCCGGTAGTTCTCGTCTTTTCCTTTTGTGTGTGGGTTTTGTTTTTTGTTTTGTTTTTTGTGGGTTTTTTTTTTGGCTTTTGAATTATTTACTATTATTCCTGGAGTGGGTTAAGGAAAAATAAACACATCAAATAGCCAAGTAGTTCAATAGCAAGAATCTTTGTCTTTTTTTTTTTTTAAGATTTTTATTTATTTATTTATTTGAGAGAGAGAGAATGAGAGAGACCACATGAGAGGGGGGAAGGTCAGAGGCAGAAGCAGGCTCCCTGCCGAGCAGGGAGCCCGATGCGGGACTCGATCCAGGGACTCCAGGATCATGACCTGAGCCGAAGGCAGTCGCTTAACCAACTGAGCCACCCAGGATCCCGAATCTTTGTCTTTTTTAATTGGGGTGTAATTGACATAACATTAGATTAGCTCCAGGTGGAAGACATAACCATTCGTTATTTGCATATATTGCAAAATAATCACCATAAGTCTCGTTACCATCTGCCAGTGCGGAGTTACATTTTTTCCTTGTGATGAGAACGTCTCAGATCTACTCTCTTAGCCGCTTTCATATATACGATACAGTATTACTGACTGCACGTCATGTCCCCGGGATGGAGTTATTTTATAACTGGACATTTGTACTTTCTGACTACCTCCTTACCTTCTGTTAGTTCTCGTTTCCTTTGTGTTGGTTTGATTTTTCTGGCTTCAGATGGCGACCCTTTGCAACTTACTACCCTCATTTTGCAGATGAGGAAACAGAGACATTAAGTAACTCGCTTAAGCCCACACAGGGCAGGGCTAGGACTCAAACCTGGGCGGGGGGAGTGGCCCCAGAGCCCAAGCTCATGACCCCTGCGTGATGCAGCCTGTCTGTGCTCTCGGCCTGCCTTCCTCCCATACGCTGGGCGGCCTCGAGGCAGCCACTGCTTCTCTGGGCTTCATGTCCTCCCTTGGAAAAACGAAGGGGATGAACAAGATGGTCTCCCAAGGCCCTTCCCGTTCTGACGCTCTCTGCTCCTGGACCCACCCTTGTAAAAGACATTGAGAGAAAAACAAGGAGTTTGAAAGATCAAATGATGTGGGGAGGCCAGAGCACGCAGTGAGACACAAAATAGGCCACGGGGTGCCTCGGTTTTTAATTCCACATGGTTCCTAATAGCAGTGTTGACCTTCTGTCCCCATCTCCAGCCCTTGGCAGCCAATTTGGATTCCCAGCTCCAGCTGCGAAGAGATGGCATAAAGGCAAACTAATATTTTAATAGCTGCCAAATTGGTCCTGACTGTTCCTGTAATTAAATGAAGGGGAGTGTTGTGTTCACCGTTTCTCCTTGCTTTCCTCCAAAAATTAAAGTAACCAGATACAGCAAAAGCCAGGCAGCACAGTTACCGTTTTCCCAGGGAGCCTCTGCAGGGCGAGCAGAAGCAGGTGCCCTAAAGTCCACTGTGAGTCTCAGTGGGCAGGTCCTAGCAGACGTCCCCCAGAACTCCTGGCTGCTTCTGCCCCGCTGCGAGGCATTTCCCAAATGTCTGCAGCCTGGGTGTGGGGGAGCCCCTGACGGGACAAAAGGGAATATCCTTTCCATCAGCCTGAATAGGATTTGCTCTGGGACTTTTCCTGCCTCGGTCCATCTGAGCTCTCCGCCTGATCCAAGATCCCCAGGGTCCCCATGCTGAGCCCAAGGACGCAGTGGGGTGCGGGGCTAAGCACCTGCCCGCTGGAGGCTCGGTCCCTGTGTTGAAATGCCACCTCTGTTTCCTCATCTTTATAACATCGGAACAGGGAGGTCGGGATTGTGAAGGACCAAGTGTCCTCACCGACCCCGGGAAGGCCCCAAGCCAGGCACTGTCCACTGTGTTGTCTCATTCCAACCTCATTTGGCAGGTGCTGCCCCCTCTTAGAGATGAGTACAACCGAAGCGTGGAGAGTTGTTTTCATGGGCCCAAGGTTCCACGGCCACTGGGCAGCAGGGCTGGGATTGGAACCTGGTTCACTCTGACTTTAAAGACCTGGGTTGTTGTTTTTTGTTGGTTTTTTTTTTTTTTTGGTCACACCACGATTCGTGACTGCATCTGAGAGGACCTGCAGTTTTAG